GTTTGACTAAGAGCTTTACTTGGCAAACAATGGTAAGCTTTAAGAATTTAGGGAGCTGGCTAATGCAAGATTTTGAGTCTGAAATTATGTGACACTAGAGTTCAGATCCCTGGCTCACAAAAGTTTCTGGTGGTAACCTATGAATATGCTGTCTGCAGTCATCACCCCTAAATAAAAAGGTGGGAGTGGAAAGAAAAAGCGTACTTAAAAAAGGGACTGTCGTTAAGACCATCTTTCGGGATTTCTTATGGGGTTTCTACTTCCTGTAGTAATGGATATAATGAGATTGGAGCTCTGACAGTACCTCTTTGATATGAGYGATGTGGTTTTGTTTTCTGTTTTTCTGTAATGCTGTAGGATACAATCATTATTTTTGCAAGCAACACACACAAACCTTTACAGTGCTGAGTTGTTGAGTTTATCATGGTCAGTAAATCTGAATCTCTCATTCTGCCCCTAGACTTGAATTAATAAAAAAAAAAATGGAAAAGGTGACGATTCTCCGTGGGCAAAATTGTTGAGCTTAGAGAACAGATAAATTCTGAAGAATTTGTGCTGCTTAATATATCTGTGAAGTTTGAAATGGTTAAAATGCTAACCATTCAGGAGGCATTTATATTCATATATTTTGCTCATTTATTTTATACTTATTTAAAAATAGTATAAACTAAATTAATCCACTTGGAATATATTTTCCTAAAGAAAAACCTTTAAAATCCCCCTTTTTTTTTTTTTTTTTTTCCAAAACCCAGCATATCTCAATACTGGATGGAGAGATATATCTGCACTGGCATCTGAACAGAGTCATTAATGGCTACCTCTTTTGCCATTTTTTTTTGACAGCCACAGTTCCTTCCAAAATTATATAATTAACATTGTTTGTGTGTTCAAGTTTTATTTTTTATCAGTTCTTACTGTTTTTAATTAAAAATCATTCTTCTTTCTTTCTTTTTTTTTTTTTTTTTGACCTTTTTCTTTCTTCATACCTGCTTGCCCTCCTCCTACAGCTCTCACAAAGGAGGGTGACATGGAGAGGTTATGTCCCACCCACCACTCCTCCTCTTCCATTGCTTCTTCATCTTACTGGTCACCATCCTTGCTGTGCCCCAGCGGCCGCTCCTGCTGCCAGTGTCTTCTGCGGATTCTGGTCACCCTCTACCTCTTCATCTTTATTTGTTCATATGTTGTGTTTCTTTCCATCAATTCAGCGGGCAAGTCCACGAAAAATGCAAACTCACAGAGTCATTCGTTTGAGTTTGAGCTCCTTCCTTCCACTCCTTCCTCTGTACTGTGTAAGTTGAGAGACTCATCTGTTCAGATGATACTTTCTGTCTCTCCATTTCCTCCCGCCATCAACCTGCCTTTTTTTTGTTGKTTTTTTTTTGTTGTTTTGTTTTTTTGTTTTGTTTTGGTAGGAAAAAACAGGTATATATTGTGATCTGACTGATCTAGAGTGATCTACTATTTCTTTATTGGTTTTATTATTTATAAAATTGTATCGTCACCTTCAAGAACAGTGTAAATAGGTATGTATTTTGGAAAGTTATCTTGCAGAGGTTATCTGTGGATTGGACTATCGTGAGCTCTTCACGCCTTCCTTGGATCCTGGGTAGGGCCAAGAGATCAATTATCCATTGCGCTTATGAATGTCATCAAGTTGCCTTTTTTAGCATCACCATTCATAAAGCAGCTGTAAACCTGCTCTGCCATGTTATTAACATGCAAAACTCATTCATGACACCTGAAAACTTATGTAATGCTTAAAAAGAGATCTAGGCTGATTAATGACACATTAAGGAGATATATCTAGGGTGAAGAGATTGTGTTTGAACAGTTCAAATTTTAGATGGGTATGTATTAGTTGTTTGCTGGCTAATGCTATTATTAGTAGTTCAGAGCAAAGGCCTCACCAGAGCATTTTTGTTTTGTTTATGGATTAATTCTGAGATTCTTGGTGGGAATCTGAGAGTTGAAACTGGGAAAATTCCCTAAGAAATTAGGCCCTGTTTGCCAGATTCTGATCTTACATCCTTTGCCAAGAGTGGATATTYGCATTGGTAAAGATGAGGTCAGACTGGTCCCTAAAACCTGGGCTGTGTGTTACAGGCCTGAACCTGATCTTAAATTTGAGCAGAATTTTTGCTGAGGGCTTCCAGCAGAGGTGAAAGGAGAATCAGTTCCAGTATCTCAGTATCTGAAGATGCACCAGACTTGCTTCTGTTTTTTTATTCTTTATGCTTGGAAATACCTTTTCCCGATAGCTGTAGTAGAAAGAAATACAGAATTGAGGATTACTAGTGGTTTTCCATTGTAAAATGTTAGTTGAAAACAAAAAGATTTCTCTGACTGAAATAGTACAGTGATCAGGTTGGAGTACAATTAAATAAAAAAGTGTACGGGGCAAAACAGATCAGTGTCGTGATTTTCAGGACTTTAAATGTTTCTTGAGGCAGCAGCCAGGCTCCATCATTAATGTAATGTGTTCAAAAGACACAGTGCAGTATCTTGTATCTACAGTGACCACGATCCTTAATGCGTGTTTGTTCACTCCTTGCCTTTGTCAATTACATTTAGATAGAAAAGAATTTAAACTTTCGAAGAACAGATGTTACATAGATTCCACCAAATTTATAATGAAAATTTGGTAACTTTCTTCCCATTTTAGTAAGTATCAATTGCTTCTGTCAAGTACAGTCTGAAATAGCAAAACTCTGTTCCTACCAATATCCTTCTCACCTCAGCTCATTTTCTGCACCCTCTAGTTTTTTCCCTTGCCCCAAGGAATAATACAGTAACACATATTCACACGTTCATCAAGCCAAGCTTTTCTCATTTTTCGTCTCTTTCCTCTGTGCCTTCCAGTCTCCTTCCAATTTTTTTCCGTATTGAAGTCTGGTTCTCTTGTTTTTCTCATCTTCCTATCTGCTTTCTTCTCCTCCCTCCCTATCTAAGCCTCCCTTTCTAGACAGTGTATTTGTAGACTGAAATACGTTTGGTCTGTATTTGTATTCTCTCTACCTGCACACAGATWTATACCGACACAAAAATTGCAAAATCCTTTTTTAAATTAAAAATCAATCGTTTTTATAAAAGCCCAGCTGCTGTGGAGTTTTTTTCTGTTCTGTGGTATCTGATGTTACTGAATATCTCATATTCTGCTGTTCTTGACTGCCTTGCTCATCGAGATTTCAAATAACGAAGGGCTGAGAATGAGGGGGATCTTGCACACAGGGTAAAACATTTCTGGAACTCCAGCTTCTGAATTATGCTGCCCTTATGCCTTAGGTTCCTGCGACTCCCTATACGATTACATTGCCAAATATGAAGGTGGAGACTTGCTGGACTGCCTGCATGCATGTGCGGATACTTGTGATATTGAACAGAAAGAGCAGCAGAGTTTTTTTTGCCAAGTTTCATATGGTATTGTCATTTTGTAGAAAACTTGAGAGAAAAGCAGATTGCTTGGCAGTACTTTTCGGTTTCTGACCATCCCCTTTGTGGCCTGAGAAGTCTTTCTGCAAAGGCTGGAAGGACTGATGCTGTTGCTGGAGTTGGACAGTTGTTGAACGGAGCCAGTGATACGGCCTTAACCCCATTTCCTTCCATAGCTGGCTTGAAAAGCTTCCCGAGGCATGCTCTTCATGTTCAACAGGCACAGCTCTACTACACGTTAATACTGGCCAAAGAAACTTTGCTGAACCCTGTCTCTGCTAATAGGTAGCTCCTATCAGAAGGCTTCATCAAAACACTTCATTGACACTGCAGTTTATCTTTGGAGGGAAAAAACAGGGGAGAAAAAAGCAATTTTAGCAGCTTTCAAAAACTGCACTATCATCTCTTGTACTGAGCCATCSTAGCGTTTGACTTGTGCTGACAGTGCCCTACCATGTCCGCAGTTCCTTCTGTCTTATTTGAAACATAGGACAATAGAGCCATTGCTGATTGGCAAAGTCTCATCTCTTCATTAAAATTCTTTGTTATTTTTAACAATACTTAAAAATTAGGCAGCTAATACTCAGAATATTCTTGTCTTGCAATGCTACATAGCAGCCAGCAATTAATCACAAAAAAAAAAAAAAAAGCTTACTAGTTATTTATATCCTCTTTATCACTTCTTTCACTTCTGTTTTATTTAGTTATTTATTTTTGTCCAGAGATGTCTGCAGTTAAGAAATATTAAAAGAAATGGTGAGAAACAAAAGAAATGAAGAACTGTTTTAGTTCTTGCAGTATGTAGGAGGGTCACTAACATTCTGCTTCTGCTCCCCAACATTTTCTTTTTGAAGAAGAATTTGAACTTTCAGTGCTTTGGTCTTAACATCTTGCATATATATGGGGAGGGGAGGGTGCACGCACATCTATGCCTGTATATAGCTGTATCACTGTATTATAGCTAGACCTGTGTGTATGTATGTATTATGTATAAGCTATGGGGCTTTGCAACAAGTGATCTTCTTTATAGACTCAGGACCTAAATTGCTCTTTGCTTAAATGTACATGTTTGGCCTAAGTAAAATTAAGTGTTGCATAGATTTCTGATAGTCAGCATTATACTTTTACAAGATAAAAGAGTAAATTTGCATATGAATCATTATTGTATCACGAAATGATAATCAACTCTCTTTAGCACAAAGTAAAGAGTTGGTGGTTTTGATTTTTGTTTTCCTTTGCTTTTTAAACAGTAGGTCCTTCAGTGAAAGAAAGAAGATTAAAACCTTGATAGGGGAGTGGATTATTGATCTTGATGTGTGTTTAATTTCCTCATGAATATAGGCATAGGCTGAGGCCAAAATAGTTTAAAACTATTATAAATAGTGTAAAACTGCTGTAAAGAAAGTGTAAAAAATACTTTGTCTTATAGAAAAGGAAAAGAAATTGCAGTAATATCAACTAAGGAATGATGGAATAACTTTGATAAGGCTGTTATTCTGACAGCCTTTCAGYTGTCACCTTCCACCTTGCTTTCCATTTTAAGAATGATTGTGTTTCTATCTCTCTAGCTCGTAAGCAAGAGATTATCAAGGTTACCGAGCAGTTGATTGAAGCTATCAACAACGGGGACTTTGAAGCTTACACGTAAGTTTGGGTGGGAGTGAGAGCTGCCGTTTCGGTGTGGCTGTGCATGCACACGTGTGTATTGTTAGAGTTCAGTCTCAGATGCCCCCAAGGAAAGGAGCACTTGTTCACCACTGCCTCGCCTCAGCTTTTGCTAGCCTGGTTGCCACTTTCATAGGTGATGCTCGTGTAAATCTAATGTACTTGCCTTACGAGCCAGAAGTAAAAACCTGTCGTGAAATATGTAGTGATCTTTCTAGGAGTACGAAAGTAATGTCATGTCTTGTTTAAAAAAAAAAAAATCTATATATAATGTACATAGATAATACATTTATAATTACATAGATATTTACGTTTATAATGTATTGGTACTTAGCAGAATCCCACTTGTAATAAAAAAACAGGAAGGACCATATGGTATTTAGCTTCCACCTGCTGAACACTGCATTTATGTATAAGTATTTACTGAGCAAAAACGGCCTGAGTATTGTCAGTTTTCCTGTGCAGTGTCTCAAATTCATCATTGTGTCCTTTTCATCCTACTTTGAAATACAGGAAAGATGCTTCRTAAGCACTTTTCAACAATTCTTTTTGTTCTCCTTCTGTATTTCTCTGGGTRGCCTCTGTCCTGTTGTGGCCCAAGCTTCACAATTCAACTATGTCACTTGTTTTCTTGTCACCCTAAGAAACCTTTTTAAAAATTTTCTAACATGACACATAAAATTTCATATAATTACATTAAAACTGCACAGCATTTTAGCAGATGAAAGAAAAATAAAGATCTTTCCTAAATAATGGTGTCAGCCTTGAAAAATATACTTTGGATTGCACTGAGGCAGCCAGTTTTCAGAGGCACAAGCAGAATCTGATGGCGTAGTACCAATGACTTGTAGGGCCTCTTTGGCACTCTTTTCTCAAAATATGATTTATGTTAAGACTGGTCCAGCTGAAGTAAGTTGCCAAACTTGGATTTCGCTGAAATCAGAACTCCTGGTACACCACCTGTGCCATGGGCTAAAGGAGGCATTTAGAAAGAATCTGCCCAGTGTTGTGTTAGATCTAATGGCATGTGTTTATTGCAGCAGTTTCTTACTTTCTGCAGAAAAATCTGCGATCCAGGCCTTACGTCCTTTGAACCCGAAGCTTTGGGTAACCTAGTAGAAGGGATGGACTTTCACCGGTTCTACTTTGAAAATGGTGCGGAAAAAATCTTTTTCATCTCTCTGAATCTTCTGCTCCTGGTGATTGTGTCTCTCTGATCCATCAGCATTTTGATTTGGATTTTTTTTTTTTCTTCTTATGCAATCTCACCAGGATGATCGTCGTATTGAAATATTATTAAAAATTCTATTGATTTTCTTATGGCAAGGGGAAAACACACTTCCTTTTGTGTCTGTACTAATTTCTACTATATTTTTGAGCTATTTTGTGAATAGTTATCAGTAAATGGATTTTATTACTTAGTATATGCTTACATAGACTTACATACTTAGATGGATTTAGCGTCTAAATACTAAGTATGACTTAATATCTTATTACTTAGTATTTTTTATTACTTAGTATCCTCTCTGTGTTTGTTTTGTGTCCTAGCTTTATCCAAAAGTAACAAGCCAATCCACACCATTATCCTCAATCCTCATGTCCACCTTGTGGGTGACGATGCCGCCTGCATTGCGTATATACGGCTAACACAGTACATGGATGGAAGCGGGATGCCAAAGACTATGCAGTCAGAGGAGACACGGGTCTGGCACCGTCGGGATGGCAAGTGGCAGAACGTTCACTTCCACCGTTCAGGGTCACCAACAGTACCTATCAAGTAAGGAACAATTTCAAAGCACAAGCTTAGGTTATGTAGGTCACACGAGATAGTCTAATAGCTGCTTTTGGCCTTAAAGTCTATGAAGGTGCCCTCTTGATAGTGTAATTTCTTTGCGTGCAGTTATGTGGTGTCAGGAGTGTGCATGAAGTATTTGTGAGAGTATTTTTGGTAATAATGATTTTTGGTTTTGTCATTTTTGACAATGATACCTACTGATCTTAGCCCCTGAACTAAGAGCTTGAGAAGTACAAAAATGTTCTAATGGAGTTAGTGCCCTGATATAAGTCACGCAAAGTAAGAGTGGAGAGTCCCATTAGAGGAACCAGGGAGCACAGAAGGAATAAAAAATGATAGGATAGATGGAGCTGTTGGAGATTGTTGGAAAATTTCAAAGGATAATGTAACATTTACTGAAAAACATAATTTGAGCAATTTTGCATGTGTGATTTCCATCTGTCTCTACCTACTCAGACCTATCTGTGTTCTCTCCATGCTGAACTTGAGAAAGTTTACGTATTTACTTTATAAATTCAGGCACAAAGCTATCTATCATGTTGTSGTCTGTTCTTGCACACTCCCTTTGCTGAGCTGCTAGGCAATCTCTGTTCTGTCGCTATTTCCCACCTATATGGGTAAGCTTTGAATCCGCTGTCATCATTCATCTGCTCATTTCATTCTGGCATCACCGCATGTTGAGTCGCAGCATCTCACCGAGGGCGTGAGAGGCCATTCACAAACCTGGATACCTTGAGCCAGATTTTGAGCAGTGTTAATTAGGGTAGATTCATAATTGCAGTAAGAAAGGGAGAGTCATGGCTTCTTCAAGAGGTAGTGCTCAAGTCCTTTGCTTTTCTCCTGCTTACAGCTTTCCCCAGCGTTACCATGTCCCTTGGGGCCCAAGCTTGTTGACTTCCTCTCTAAGTAGACACACTTAGGTTAGACTGTTTCCAAATTACAGAGCCCTAGTATAGATTCTATTTTGTTCAGATGTGAACCCTTTATATTAAATATACCTACATTTTTGTGAAGCATCTTCTTGCAACAACATTCTCCCATATATCTCCCGTAGTATTCTATGAAATGAGGATATAGTAGGACTAAGTGTAAAATTTCACCGATGATAGATGAATGGAATCTTTTTTGGAGAAGAAAAAAAATGTAATTTGATTACCTGTTAATAACTCCTGTATTTTATTTACAACTGTTAACCCAGTGGGAACAAGAACCATGTCATTCTGTAGGGTTTTTTTTTGCATCCTATCGGCAATGCCAGTATTTAAACAGATATTCTCAAAAGAGTAGTTACAGTGCTTGAAAGGTTAGTAGCATTAGTAGCTAGTATTAATAAAGAGTATTAATACACAGTAGTATTCCTGAGATATTTTTGGTGTACTTTGTAAAGGAGYTTTTTGTCAAGGAGTCCAACCTGGGTATCTATAGGGAAGTGAACATAACTGTAATGGGCACAGCTGGCCAGTGCAGCCTGGACAGTGAGTGTGTGCGTCAGGCTGGCACACCCTGGGCTAGGGAGCACTCGCATCTTTGCCTTTTTAAGGGATGTGTGGGTGTATATGTAATTCTCTGTTTTGTTTGTGTGCTGCGTTCTTTTTTCTTTCTTAATTTATCTTAAAACATATTTATAGGAAATAATCATGAATATACATGAAGAAGGTAGCTTATTACACTTATTTTTAAGCAGCAGAAATGGAAGGAAATGAAATAGTAATCTTACAATTATGGTCAGTATTCATTTTTTATAGATTATAAAATCTTCCCAATAGTTCCTGTATTGAATAGATTTTACTGCTCCTTCTGTTTGAGGCAGAAGTGTTTTAATAGGATCCTGATGTTCATGCAACATGTGAGATGTACTGCTGTGTGCTCTGCTCTGCACTTACTGCTCCTATGAGCACTTACCAGAGCTGGAGTTTCTTTGGAAGTTGAGGCTTCATCTAAGTACCACAAAGCAGCCGTTGGCTGTGAGGTCACACGGAGAGAGACGGTAAACCTCAGGAAAATGTAGGTGTGCCTTGCAGTCTGAGATGTGCTCCATAAAAGCTGCACCAGTGTTCAGGACTCGTGTATTGCCAGCTCTTTACTGCTGGTCGTGCTAATAAAAAAAAAGAGTTTAGGGGGTTAGTAAGGATGGAATGGGTGGCAGCAAAAGGCTGAAAGAGATCTTATTTTGAGCACAGAGGCTTGTGTCTGAGGGAGTTCTGAGCTTGTGGAATCAGACAGAGGAGCTTTCAGGATGTGGAGAATGTAACTGAAACGAAAAGGTCACGTAGGAGCAGTGACTCGAAGCCTTGGCATGTAGCTAGGGTTTAAGGAGAGATGCTCTGAGATTACACTAAAGCAATAGGTAGATCCTCTGTTAGCCCTGGCAGCATCACTATATCTATGCCTCACCTAGCCCCTATTTTAAACGCAGAAGGTTTTTTTGAACTTGCTTCTAGTACAGTTCTAAAATATCATTGCTCTGATTGTTAAGAGCCGTACTGTGAATCCTAGGGTTTTTTTTTGCAACACATTGTGTTGTTGGTGGTTCTTATTTTGTCAGCTTTCTCCTTCAGTGCTGGAGACAGCTGTGCAGGTAGGAGCCATTTTATCTGAAGAGTCATTAGGATCACTTCTCATCTCCCATTTTGATAGGGTAAATAAAACATGTGTCCTTGCTTGACTTTGTATGGTAGGATCTCTGCTTTCCTAGTTCCCTAACCAGCTCTGTGCTGTATCTTTTCTGGTGTAAGGTTTGTCTTTTCACCAGTTTGAGTGCATCGGAAATACTGCATGCAGTTTTGGTCACGCGTTAGCAGGACTCTATTTTTCTTTATTTACTTCCTTCTCCTGCTAAGAATGCCATGTCTGCTATGTTACAGCATGTTACTTTTATCATCTGTAGCACACTAGCAGACTATCCAGGGTAGACATGTATTTATCTTAATCTTCCCTCTCCAAGCAATGAGTTTATAAAACCTTGGGTGAGTGCACAGCCCCGTGCTCCCCATTGTGTAGCATAATGTCTGTGGATTAGACTTTTCCTCTGTATTTGTAATGCCTTCCACCCTTGTGCAAGCAGAACACACGAGATGGTCCTGCTCTGTGTACTCAGTCAGGGTGTTAACAGAGAGCAGTGTTTGCTCTACCCTGCAGTTCCCTTTCAGCCCAGTCCTTGTCCTTTTTCTTTCAGCTACTTTACCTTGCATTCTTGCTTTAATCCCCATCTTCTCAAGTTTAACTTCCCACATGGTGCCATGTCAGGATTCACATTCTGTGACTATTGTGGTGATCATATTATCATAAAATGTCTCAAAGTTAGTTTTAGCATGTGTCAATGTTCACCCTCATTTTGTCCAGTGAAACTAGTAGTGCATAAATAATGCCAGTTTGGAAAATGACAGGAGTTTAGTTAAAGCTTTGCTCCATATTATTGTTCCTCATTTCTTGTATTGTAAGTCTTTGCAATTTACAACTACTTATTTCAACATTATCAAAATGGTAGGTAATAATGACTCTTATGCAAAGGAGAGACAATTTTATGTGCATTGTCTGAAGAAAAGTTTCACATTTAATGAACTTGCAAAAGCAATTGTTGCTGTGATGAGGTATAAATCTGAGGACAGAATCAAGCTATAGGTACCAGAAAATGAAATGTGTCCATGTGGCAATTAATTTGAAGATGAGTATGAGCACAAAATTACATCATTTATTTATTTATTTATTTATTGTATTTTTTTTACTATTAGTCTGACACACTTAGGTTTTTCTTTGGTCCATCGCTGCTCTCTGTTCAGGTAGCTGGGTTGATAGTAGATCTTTCTTTATATTGAGTGGTCTTAAGAATTTATTGGTTTGTATTTTTTTGTGTCTGCATATAAAAAAACAGTGGTTTAAAATACCCGTAGTTGAAGAGCTCTTGGACCTCAAACTGTCTCCCAAATGCAGACTTTGAGGCTTATACCTACTCACTTATCACACCTTTCACTTTACTGTGCTTTCATAAATACAGCAACAGGAAGACTCAAGTAAAGTGTTTCTTTTGTGTTTGTACAGTGCCTAGCACAGCGGAATCCCAGTTGTGACTTCGGCCCCTAGATGCTACGGTAACGCAAATAATAGTACCAAGCTGAAGTAGTTGCCTGTTTTCCTACACATTTCTTTCATTTTCTTTTTACATGATGCTTCTAGCATGTCTTGCATGCAAATGACACCCAATTCTTCCTTGCTGTGCAGTTCAGTTTTTGTATGAGGAAAAACTGTGGCCGTGTCCATAATGTACACGCTAAGGAAGCAAGTTAAAGCTCTTGAATTCAGACCTCCCTCCTTCGAGAAACTGATTAAGGCAATTTCACAAACTGCCTCATCTTCCCTTTTCTGGCATGTTGTAAAGATTGAAAATATCTGTAAAGTGGTTTGAAAAAATAAAAGTGCTTTTCCTGAGTGTTTGGGGGTTTATTTTTTGGTTTGGTTTTCTTTGTTCTATTAAATGCTCTGGAGAAGGTTTTATTCAATAGTATTGGCTAACACGTGAGCATGTATTGTTATCTGGTGGTGATGGTACCTCAGTAATGGCAATCTTTCTTTTTCCTTCTCCCTCCTTCCAGCTAAAAATCTCAGCGGTGCCGCTCTTGCACTCTCTGTACCCAGCGCGCCTGGTTGATTACCGTCTTGGCCATCCTGTTCTCTTCATGCATGTTTCTGAGTGCATGAAGTTGTGAAGGTTCTTCATGTAACACATTTGTGATGCACCGTTTTGCTGCATATTCCATCTGTACACTGTTAACATTTCAATGAAGGTGATGTTCCATGCAAATAGAAAATAGYGAGGCATAAACGTCAAACATTTGGTGTACAGCAGTAGATATAGGAGACATTTGTCTTTTTTTTTTTCTCCACTTATGCCAAGTTTTGACGGATGACTTTAAAAGTTATCCCGTTTATAAAAAAGGAACAAGAAAAAAAAAAACAAAAAAAWACCCTCTCGCAAAAATACATAGACCCTCTTTTTTTAAGAACTGTTTTTTGACTCTTCCTTAATCCCTAGATTCTTGAATTTTGCTTCAGTTCTGAAAGAAAGGGATAGGTTTTACATTGACAGCTGTATTACTGTAAAACAGATTTTTACTACGGCATGTAAATGGACAAAATCACTGGTAAATGTGGAATGATCATATCTTGGCTTTGTTCCAGCTGAAGCCTTCYTAGTTATTAGTCTGTGTAAACTGGAAAAATCTCCTCATTTGCTGGTGTGGTCAGTTCTCAGTTAACTGGTAGTGATCTGGCTGGTCAGCAACTTCTTTCATTTTTTTTCCTCTTTTTTTCTTTGAGCCTTCACCTTTGCTTTCTTACTATGCTRTTTGAAAATTTATATTGGATGATAAAGCAAAATTAAAAATTGTTAGGAACTAAGTGGTGATTGAGAGGCAGATTTTGAATGTTAAAACAGATAAAGAAAAACAGAATTTTATTGCTTTTAGGGTGTATTGTAAATTTGAGGAGGCTTTAGAACATTTAAAAATTTTGTTTAAAATATAGTCCAGTTGTGTGGTTAGTATATTATAGAATATTAGGCCTTAAAAGTTTAGCATGAAAAGTTTATTTACTTTCCAATATAGTTGTTGCTTTTCTGGAAGTATGTTATGAATACACCAGATTTCTAATAAACCCATAACACTTTACCACAGGGTTATTTCTTCCCCTTCCTTTCTCTTCCTCCCTACCGCCCAGTTTGCTCTTGACTTGTGAAAATCATTGTGCAGTGGACACCGTTAAGGTCAACATTTTTTTTGCAGCATTACCAATTTGTTTTAGATTTTTATTTGTTGCTGCAAAAATCTGTGCACTGTGCAGGAAATGCTTTCTTGTCAGTTTAGAWGAGAAATTTTCTTACAGGGACTATGTTTGCTTCCCTTACGTATCTGTGAAAGTATATTCTTGCAAGCATTTAGATTTATTCCCTTTCAATTTTAATAGAAAAATAGAGGGATTTATTATTTCTCTTTTTTTTTTTCATTTGTTAATTGTTTTATTACCAACAGGACTAACTGTTTTCTGCAGCTCTGTATAGTGCATGGTATCTCAGTCAATGTTCTTTTTAGGAGGTAACAATTTGCAACTCTGCAGCTGGAAGTTTCTAAAATGGAAGAGCTTCTTGATTTGTATAATTTCATGTTTCTGTATTGATTACTGATCAAAAGCAGTTCTTAAACATTTTGGTGTTGTTACTAGTAGATGTATGGTAGATGGATTTAAGCTTCTCTGATAATTACTACATGATTTTAAACAATATATATTTAAAATAAGCACCTACAATAAATGTGTTGAGCCATATTAACCTGCCAATGGGATCTGTGAAAAGAAGTAATGGCCTGTTTTTTTTTCTTTATTAATTTTTACTTTTTTTTTTTTTTTTTTTTTTTTTTTGTGAAGCGGCTATAAGTGGCATAACTATTTAAAATTAATTAATTAGGTGTAGGGTGTTTTTTTTATACTTCTAACATAGCATGTGGTGTTGACATATTACTGTAGATCAAGTTTGTCTTCCACACGAAGATGTGAGGAAATTGTGATTTGTTCTCTCCACCACAACTGAATTATACACTTACCTTCTGTCATTTTGGAACACTGCAGTTTACCATGGGACACAGTGTACATATTTCTTGCCATAATGGTAAATGATGGATATATTTAAGGATTAATAAATTTGTGATTTCTGCCGACATTGTGCTTGTGTTTTAATTTCACAGTTAACTGTGGATTTGCAGTGAAGAAGGTGTAGTTTTGGGTTGAATTGGGAAGTCGATGATATAGATAATCTCTTACAAGCCCGGTTTGCAATTTGAAACTATAAATATTAGCTTTCCTGGTTAATCTCTTGATTAGTTCTTCCCAATTGCCTTTTCCTAGGGACCTGGTTATATACTGGGTTTTGTTGTCCTTTTGTTGATGTTTTTGTTCATACCTTATATTTGTAGATATGTATCTAGAAATAATTTAGACACTTTACACTTCTCTGTAGCCTTCTTGCTGTGTTCCATACGTTTGACCTGTAACACAAGACGCCATAGGAGCATTATTATATACTTACAGTGGCAGAGTTTAAAATGGATTGGTAGTACATAATTAACTGGGATTTCAAATAGTGTACTGGTTTAAATTTTCCATGCATACTTATTGTGATTTTTTTAGGCATTCAACTCATGCTATGCCACAAGCGGAAAGAGTCCTCCTTACCATTAGAAAAGAGGGACTGAGTGGGCTGGGGAAAGAGCAGAGGAAATCCAGTCAGGAAATTGAGTCAGGAAATCCAGAGCTGGGTTGTTTCTCCTGTTCGGTGCCAAGAGGAGCTTGGATACGAATCCGAACCYGTAGTGCTGCTTTCAATGTGACAGTGAGGCAGGTGTGTTGCCTGCAGAAGAAATGGAGAATATTCCTGTTCTGTGAACAATTCAGCACTTAAAACTTTCTTGGTGGCATTTTGTTCTCCCTATGTGTGTGTTTATGTGTGTGTAAACAACAGTAAAAATGCTTGTGAGAGAGCTCAGATTTAGAACATTTCAGGAAGCTTCAAAGAAAGTAAAAGTGATTTAATCTGGGTCATTTTATGCTTGTCATATCACTTCTGCCTRCTTAGTTTATTCATTTCTTTTCCACTCAGTGCTGCTCCAGAAATTAGTTAGACTTCCATTTTAACTGTGTGTGCCTGCAGTGAGCTGTTTGAAAGCACTGGAATTTCCACTAATGTGCAGGTATGTAGATAAGAGGAGCTGAACATACAAAACATAATGACAAGAAAAAGGACGGGGAGAATACATCTACAAAATACTAGATTGAGGATAAGGTAGGGGGTAACTTTGGAATTGTTTCAGATGTCTTTTTAATAGCACAAATGCTTTAATGTGCTGCCTCCTGGTGGATATCTGTAATCATTTTTTTTTTCTGTTTAGGAGAGCAAGAGAAGATGCTACTTGTTTTGAACAGAAAGGAGCCTATTGCTTTCATGCATTCTCTTTTTGTTTTTAATATGAGTAAGGAAAGTAGAATGTTTCAGAGGCTGAAAATTTCCCTTTTCTGAATCTCAAATATACACAGTACACATATTGCTTGGAGGAATTTCATACAGGTTCCAGTTTCTGAAAACAGGCTCACAAGGTGCAATTGCAAAGCTATATCTCTCCTATTTATCTTATGGAAAAAACATTAATCAAAAAATTAACTGCACTACCCATGGGTAAGTGATCCACATTGCTTCAGGAGATTCAAGAACTTCACTCTTCCTTACAGATTACTGCTAAAATACGGAGAGCTCTACCTGAAATTTTGGAAGGATGCAGAGGATTAAAAGACCAGCATCTCAGCATCTAACTTCTAAATACCCTGGAGATGGCCACTGTAGCAGAGATGTGATGTGACTGGGCAGGAGTAAGGAGGGTTTGATCCCATGGGACTTAATCTCTGCTGAGTACTATCTGCGTGTAGTCTGTAAGGAATCATATCTAYAGCCAATAAAGACCCTTTCCCTCTCCGTGTCTTGCACAGGTATTGATGGCTGAACAGGACATGTAGGAATATCGTAAGCAACGTCTTCTAAGATAGTGCACAAGTAAAACAAGGTGAACGCAGCACTTGTGCAGTTTGTGAACTCCAGAACAGCAGTATAAGGCTGCTAGCATCCAGCATATTCTTGTCCAGGCTCTGAACCAAAGCAAATGACACTACAGAGAGTAAGTCTGAAGAGAATATTTAACTGCAGGGTGTGAGGGGAGAGGCATCAGTTCAAAAAACACATGTTTTTTGACCTTACCTTAGGCGGCAAGGTTTACAAGGTGAAGAGAAAGGAGAGCTGTATGGTGCCAGAACCCAGCTATGGGACTGGACTCTTTTGTGTATTATATATTAATTTGACCCTGTGGACCTTTCTCATAATGGCTTCTGAATAGTCAATATAGGTAAGTGGGGCAAATGACTGGAACATGGTTCTCTTACAGGCTTTACCCCTACAGGGTTAAAACACAAAAGCTGTGTAGCTGCAGAATGTCCTCCCAAAAGTCAACTTAAATTGCTTCCCAGAAGTGGTCAGGAATGCAATGCACCTCATAACAGCTAAATGAGGTCTAGATTGAGGTCTTGGTTGTGTAATTATTCCCACCTATTCTGCCCTGAACTCTACCAGTAATGGAAATGTGTTGTGTCATGCAGAAAGAACAGTGGTATGTGTCACCAGGTTTCCCCATAACTGGCAGGTATTTGCCAGTGTCATTGCATTCATTGCTGGAGGGGAGGAGGAAGGGAGCAAAGCTGTAATAAAGTGTTTCTTGCATTGGAGGAGAATTAATAGCAAATAAAACACCCTGATCGGAAAATGAAGACACCGTTCCAACCTTTCACCACACCTTTTCCTGACTTTTCTCAGGCATTCCTAGCATGTAGACTCTTTGAGAAGACAAATGCCCCAGAGCAAGTCACTGCTAGTCACGGATTGTGAAGTAATACATGTAGTGAAGGGACTGTAAAGGCAACCACCAGCCTTAGAGTGGAGGTAAGAGCCCGTATTCCTGTACCTGGCAGCGCATTGATACTACTGAATGCTGAGATCTAAGCTGAAGTGAAACCCTGAGGATGAAGAGCATGTTGCTGCAAGGCACACACCTCTGTGATGTTACAGCAAGGCACTAACACCATATTYAACTGTTGCCATGTGCTATGCACTGGAAGCAGGGTAAGTACCAGGGGAAGAAACTAAGGTTTCAGATGTGGAACATGATTGTAGGACAAGGATGATTACAGTTTCAATGAAGAAAAGGTAAGAATATATTAACACATTTGTGAAGGAAGATGCTCATAGATACRCCTGTATATCTGTCTCCTTGTCATGTTGGAAGATTATTCTAGGGCCAAGCAACTGCAAAGATGAAATTTCAATTGTATGTACACATGACACTACCTTAAGTAGTAGTGATTTGGCCTCCTCAGCCATTACATACTGTTGCCCCATATTTAGAACATATTTTCTTCCAGTTAATATATGCATATAAGTACTCCCTGTGCCAATTTCTGAACATGGCAACCACTGCTTCAAATGCACTGTGCTACAGATTTCTCAATGAAAATATTCCACCATCCTCTGCTAGATGATAAATCAGTCAAAAGCTTTACAGAGCTCATTGTGTAAGCAAAATGGCACCTGGTGTAGGAAGCAGCTGGTGATCTATGCTGCAGTTTTCTGCAAAGTGTGAGAGGCTACCATGGGTGAGAAGCTGCTTATCTGTCAGAGCATGGTATTAGGTCCGACAGCAGAGCTGCTCTGGTTGATGTCATAGAAACTATGACTTGTGCCTTCAATGAAAGAGGTTGTATAGAGTGTCATAACACGCCAATATGAAAGGTAACCTATACAGGGTTAGATTTGGAACTAGGTTCCCCCTCATGCTCAGCACATATCCCTAGAAAATGCACTTTATCACAATTGTCCTTTTGCTCAGCAGCTCTATCCTCCTTATCCTGACTACTCCTGACTAACCTCATTTCTGCTGATACCAGGTTAATCTGTCTGTCCCCGAATTATCACAATAGCGTGTGGTAATAGGATCCCTTTCCAGGAATTCTCTTTGCTAAGCCACTGTGCTGAGTTGTGATTGATCAGTATGTCCTTCTATTGCCAGGTAATCTCTTTGTCTTGAATTCAGTTTTCACCCTCTCAGCTGTACATTTCCTTGCATCCCTGTGCTTGTTTTCTGAGGACTGTAGGTGCTGCCTCCACTTTGGACTGCTCTAAAGGAGGGTTTTGTGAGCATTGGGAGCCTAGTGAGTTCTTGGCATGCTTATTTGTTTAACTTCCTCAGGCAAAATAGATGTCTGAACATCTACTCTCCAGACTGCAGTAGAATTTTAGCAAGAGCTGAGAATAYAGCTGCTCTGCCATCCTGTGAGTGCCTCAGGGCATACATTGAAATGAAATTTGAAGTGCTTTAGGTGCTTCAAGAATCCTTAAATTTGGACACCTWGTTAAAAGGTGTGAGAACTGAGCCATGAGTGTTGCTATCACAGTTTTGGATGTGACTCCCATTCCGCCCATTTCTGCTTCAGATTTCAGAGGCATTGTTAAGGGATGCAGCTTTTTATATTTATTTTCTTGATTTGTAACTTCYTTCTGAAGGGCTGTGTGGCAGAGCAATTCAACCTGTTTCTGGAGTAAAACGGTTTTGCTTGCGATGCAG